TTCTTTCTGGTGAGTGTACGTGCCCTTTGGCAAAAAATAAATAATAATAATAATAATAATTTTAAGTGGCATATTCTTAGTTATAAACTTGCTGATAAGTTCTCATTATTTAATTCTATAAAGTCTGAATCTTTGAAATGTAAATCACATCACTTTCTTACACATATATGTATTAAAATGAACTACTTTAAGGATATTTGGGAAAGGAACCGATTCTACAACAAAACTGAAGATGCATAGCCACCATAATTTTTTTATAAATAATTTAATTATAAATAATTAAAAATATGTATAATACAAAAGCATATCTTACTTATATCCTGTTTGCATTTACAATTTAGTGATCACATTTTTAAAATGTTTTTGCCGTAAGGCTGTATGCTCACCAGAGAGAGACAGAGAGATAGAGATAGGAAAAGTGAGAATCCCCCAGCAGGGATGGCCACACCGCAGACCTGCTGTCTTCTCCTCCAGTCTCTTCTTGAGATTGGGCCATACACAAACACACCCAATATAATTTTCAAGTTGGTGGGTCTGGGACTCGATGTGCAGCCAGCCATGTGGGACTCCAGTGCCTTAACCACCCTGCCACCTGCTGGCCCCTGAAATCCTTGCTATAGCTACTTAACCTGTACTCTAAATAATACAACTCGCCCTCATGAGTTGTTTTGTCATTTCAGTTTTCAAATTATGTGATAATGTGCTGAGTTTTAGAACAAAATCTGTAAGTTGGGGTCACCTATAATATTGTAAAAACCATTATTGGGAAAATATTAGACTGAGGTGGCTCTAGGACCCTGAATTCCTATGTAAGTAAGCAAACTGAACCCAGCTCAGCATGAACCTAAAATTCACCAGCCAGAAACTGCCGACTAACCTCTACCTGGGGACTGTAAGGCTTCTGGTCTTTTTTGTTTTGGTTTGGTTTTTGCTATAGGGTACATGTGCTTGTCAGAAAGACAGACAGAAAGTTAGAAATCACTCCCAGAGGGAATGGCCATGCCACAATCCTTTCTCCTCCATTCTCCCCTTGGGATTTTGGGCATGCACACACACACGCCCGGTATGAGTTCCAAGCTGCCAGATTTGAGACTTGAACTGCAGGCAACTACATGGGAGTCCAGTGACATAATCATTATGCCCTCTGCTGGTTCTAAGGCTATTGTTTTCTAACCAATCAAAAATATCCTTTGCCTTGCTTCTGTGTACACTTTTTAAAGAGTTTTCCTTTTATGTACCTTCGGTAGGGCCCTAAGCACCTAGAGTCTGGCACTGACAAATCCATGACCTGCTGTCTGCGCAAATAAACTCTGAAATTCTAATGTGCCTAAGGCTTTTGAAAATATTTTATCATACTTCTTTAGGACAGAAGCTAATGCCGAGTAAGAACAGAGAATGACTACAAATGGGCATGAGGGGTCTTTTCCCAAGTGAAGAAAAGAGCCTAAAATTGGATTTTGGTACTGACGGCATGATTCCGTAAGTTAACTAAAATTGTAATTACTGAATAGTACAATTTAAATGGGCGAATTTTTGCTATCTAAAGAATACCTCCCTAAAATTGTTTTAAAACATTTTCAAAAAGTTTATTCACCTTAGACCACTGACATATCTTAGTATCAATGAACAGCTGAGTTGAAGACTTTTCCCCTTGATTAATCTGAAACATAAAATAAGTCAATTTTTACAGAAGTAGACATAACTGTGCTCATAAGTCTCTCATCCAAAATTGATAAAAACCGAGACATCTCAACGTTTTTCTTTAGAAGAGTTTACGTCTGTATGTGTGTATGTCTTTCTATGAGATGGCATATTTACTATGACCGAATCACTTAACTTTTCTTGGTTTTTGGTTTGACGTGATTGGATGTTATGAAACAAAATGAAAAAAAAAAAAAAAGAGAGAAAAAAAAACTTAAAAGTTTTTTGGAATTAAAGTGCTGTATTAAGAAAAAGCAAAATGTTAGCTTTATGACAAAGAAAAGCTTATTATGCTACAAGTTTCATTTAAACAGTAAATTTAAAAACAAAAAATTTTAAAAGCATTACCTTAGTATTTTTTAGCTTTCCTCTTACTTTGCCTCTCAACGTTTCTATTATGTTTTGATTTTCTTCTGCATCTAAATCACGAAACCAACATAATATAGAGTTCATAAAAATTTCTTTTCTTTAATAAAAAAAATTATTTACTTATTGTATTTGTTACTGACACTTTCTTTTCTTTAATAAAAAAATTATTTACTTATTGTATTTGTTACTATTATTATTATTTTTAATTTGACCAGAGAGAAAGAGAGGAAGGAAAAGTGAGAAAGCGAGCTGCCAGGTCAGGACTTGAACCTCGGTCACCCATGTGGGAGCCTAGCACCTTAAATACCGCACCACCTGCTGGCCCTGACACCTTCTTATAATTAATAGTAACAGCAGCAAAAGAAAAAGAAAAAGAAAACTTATTAACTACCTTAACTTCATGCATCTCTAAATATCCTACCACTTGTGAAGGCAGGAATCCCCCTGAGTACTTAGAACCTAAAACTAATGGATGTCCCTGCCTTCCCCTTCTCCGCCCGGAATAAATATTTGACCCATGGTCAGGAATGAATGTTGCTTTACCTTGGAATTTCTCTACTCTCTGTCACTGTCTTCAGCTGCTTTCTCAGCTAAGGGTCACAATCCTTTTTTGTAGTAGAGCATCAAAAAGCTCAGATAAACCAGTCTTTACATTTTCCCTAAATTATAAGAACTGTTTTCTGCTCATTCATAGCATGTCCCACCCGATGAACTGAAAAAAGAGAGACTGCATAGTCCCGTACCCAGTAAAAAATGGAGGGCACTTCTCATTTTGCATTGCATTTTGCTTTTTCTCTTCCTGTCCTGGAGTACTTAGAGGTTGCATGAAGATGGTAAAAATGAGGGTAAGCATAAAGCTAAATCACTAAAGAGCGTGAGAATCTTCACTCTTTTTAAGTGTTTTTAATTGCCAGAGGGCACATGCACTCACTAGAGAAAGATGGGGAGAGAGAGAGAAAAACTCTTCTGCCCCCAGCAGTGCACAATCACACCACCGTCCCTCCTCTTTCATTTCTCCACCCAGCTGGGATGTTGGACACGCACACACACATACCTGGTGTTTTTTAAGTTGCCAGGGCTGGCATTCAGACCATGGTTGGCCATGAGGGATCCTGGCTCCCTTAACTGCTCAACCTTAATACAGTATTCCGTGGTATAATTTAAAACTTACTAGTCAGTTTGCTCATACTCTAAGAACTAAGAATGCAGATGGCACATAATACATAATAGGTGTTCATTATATATCTGTTTGATCGATAAACCGGAGTAAACCATCACTTATGTATTTTTCTCCCTGAGATCTGGAACTTCTTGTAGCAGGTTCTGTATCCATGTATCTTTATAATATAACACAATTTCAAGCACAAGTGGACATTTTCTTTTTGAGAGACAAAAAGAAAAGGGAACTTTAATATATATATATATATATACATACAATGGGCTCCCATACAAACAACAAGCAAACAGAGACAGAACTGAAGAAAGTAATCACATTTACCACAGCCACGAAAAGTATAAGATTCCTAGGCATAAAACTAACCAAGGAAGCGAAGGACTTATAAAAAGAAAACTATGAAAATATTTAAAAAGAAATTGAAAAGGACACAAAAAAGTATAAGGACAACCCATGCTCCTGGATTGGGAGACTTAATAATAATCAAAATGGCGATCCTCTCCAAATTAATCTACATGTTTAATGCAATCGCTGTAATATTACAAGAGACGTTCTTCGCAGATCTAGAAGAGATCATCATAGAATTTGTCTGGAATCATAAAAGACCACGTATTGCCAAAGCCATCCTGTGCAAGAAGAGTGAAGTGGGTGGAATCTCACTTCCTGACCCCAAAATATATGACAAAGCTGTGATAATCAAAACAGCATGGTATTGGCACAAAAACAGACAAAAAAAAGACCAATGGAATAGAGTAGAGACCCCAGGAATAAACCCCCAAACATACAGCCAACTCATCTTTGACAAAGGGTACCAGTCAATCCAGTGGGAAAAGGAAAACCTCTTTAGCAAACGGTGCTAGAAAAACTGGGTACCCACCTACACAAAGATGAAGCTGAACCCCTTTCTGTCACCATTAGCAAAAATCAACTCAAAGTGGATCAAAGATCTAAACCTAAGACTGCAAACTATAAAACTACTGGTGGAAAACACTGGCGAAATTCTGGGAGACATCAGGGTAGGCAAAGACTTCTTAAGCAAGACCCCCAAAGCACAGGCAATAATCCCCAAAATAGCAAGTGGGATTACATCAGATTAAGGCGTTTCTGCACAGCAAATGACACAGTAATTAGTGTGAATTGACAACCCATGGATTGGGGGAGAATTTTTGTTAACGGGGCCTCAAATAAGGGAATGATAACCAGAATACACAGGAAATTCAAGTAGCTTACCTGGAAGAAAATGACTAATCCAATTAAAGGATGAGAAAATAAGCTGAATAAACAACTCTCTGAGGAAGACATACAAACAGCCAAAAAGCGAAAAGCAACAGAGATGCAGATCAAAACCACAACGAAATACCACCTAACCCCAGTCAGAATGGTGAAGATTAAAAAAAAAAAAAAAAAAAAAAAAAAAGGGGCGGGAGGGGGGAACTCTCATACATTGTTGGTGGGACTGAAAATTGATCCAGCCACTGTGGAGAACAATATGGAGGTTCCTCAAGTACCTTCAAATAGAACTACCATATGATCCAGCAATTCCACTCCTGGCTATCTACCCAAAGGGCAAGAGAACGTTCAGTCAGAAAAGCACTTGCATAGTTATATTTATTGTGGCATTATTCACAATTGATAAGACATGGAACCAACCCAAATGTCCACAAACAGATGAATAGATTGAAAAAGTGTGGCACAGATACTCTATGGAATACTATTCAGTCATAAAAAAACAAGGCCCTGGAATTGGACAGAAAGTGGATGAATATGCAAGAGAACGTTCAGTCAGAAAAGCACTTGCATAGTTATATTTATTGTGGCATTATTCACAATTGATAAGACATGGAACCAACCCAAATGTCCACAAACAGATGAATAGATTGAAAAAGTGTGGCACAGATACTCTATGGAATACTATTCAGTCATAAAAAAACAAGGCCCTGGAATTGGACAGAAAGTGGATGAATATGGAAGATCTCTTACTGAGTGAAGCAAATCAGGCTACGAGACAGAGATATTGTATGTCTCCACTTAACCTATACCAACTGTCTACACTTCATGGTAGAGTCTGAAAGACTAGAGGACATAAAAGCAATAAAAATTGTTACAGACACTTGACAAAAATGGAAGGAAATTAGGAGAGGGGAAGAGTACAGAAAGGGAAATTTGGGGAAATATGGAGAAGACATTTGTGTTACACAGATATGGTTTGTTGCCTGTTGGTAATGTCGTGCAGAGTAGTCTCAACTCGTCTGCTGTGTGGCATACATCACGTGGGGTAAAATCTCTTTACAAACTAAATCATGTATAATGATTAAATGGATAAATAATACTAATTTAAAAATAAATATAAAAAGAAATGTGCTCCCAGAAGAAACCCTAGCATAGGATTAATCATTTAAATCTTTAAAAAATAAAAAAGATTATCAGAGTAGTGGTATACTTATTGAGAACCTTTTTGGAGATGCGTATTTAAAAATTCTTCTACTGAAATGTTATCTATCTCTTCTGACATCTGTAAAAAAAAAAAAAGTGAAGAGGGTTAACTTGCATCTTTCTGTTTTGTCACTGAACACCTTTTCATATATTTATCAGCTCTTTGAACATCAATTCCTTTAAAATAGCAATTCATATCCTTTGCCTATTTTCTTAAATTTCATCTTTACCAATTTGTATGAGCTCAGCATAGGGTAGACTTTTATGTTAATAGATTTATCTCTGTAACATTTTTAAAAACGTTTTAATGATAAAATTCAATGGTTAGTTCTTAACGGGCACATGCTGCCTATCTCGTATACCTTTTAGGAGGGTCAAATGAGATCAGACATATATGAAAACAACTTGAAAGTCCCATGCTTTACCAATGTTAGCCGTTACTTGATTGATCACTCTGCAGCATCTGACAATGTTGAACATCCTTATTTTCTGAAAATATACTATGTGCTTGCCCTTGACCCTTATCGCTTATTCCTGAAAACTTTCAGTAGTCATACTTCTCCCAAAAGAATAAACCCGGACACGTGCCAGGCTTGGAAAGTGCACATATCCCCCGGTTTCCTAAATCTGTGTCTCTGCCACCAACTGCTCCCCGGTAAGATTTCTAGCTGCCTCCTGGTAATTCTAATTAAATGTCTTACACCACCAACAATAATTCAGCATGTTAACATGAGCGTTTCTTGGGACCAGCAGTTGTGTAGTGGCTGTCGCTGTACTCCCATGTAGTTGACCGTGGTTCGAGTCCTGGATCCAGCGGCTTAAACTCACGCTGGGCGCCTGTGGGGGTGTGCCCAAGATCCCGAGAGGAGAATGGAGGAGAAGGGATTGTGGCGTGGTCATCCCCCCCTGAGGGGTGATTTCTCACTTTCTGTCTCTGTGTCTCTCTATGTCTTTCTGGCAAGTGCACACACCCTATAGCAAAAACCGCTCAAAAAAAAAAAATCAGCATTTATTTTCCAGTTTTTAAAACTTCAATATTCTAAAACTAAACCATTTTAGCAATGTTAAATTTTTTTTTAGAATTATATGAAGTAGAGTTGTTTTTAGATATAAGTTTAAGAAATATAATAGCAAAGACCCCTGAAAAAACATCCACATATGCTAACCAAACTAGCAGCTGGAGTGCGAGGAGCAAGCAGACACGTGGAAGCTTTCCAATTACCATAAAAACATGGGTTCATGTCAAAACCAAACAAGGTTTTGACATGAGTATAATGGAAACATCATGAAGGACCAAGGCAACTGAATCTCTGCTCCTAACCCCATCTTCCTGACCCCAAATAGCTCACACAGGGTCACAGAAATCAGCCCTTACTGAACCTGCTACCTGGAGGAAGAAGCTCCTCTTTATAAATCTGAACTCAGTATCTCTTTCTGTGGATACCATGTTGCAAAACACAGCAGAGGAGAGAAGTTGTCTCAGAAGTACCTTATAGTAAGGAAGCACATGACCTTACAGTTGCAGAAACCTTCTCTAAGCAATTAGCCAAAAGTGAATATACCACCAAATGACTAAAATTCAGAGTACAGAGTGAGCAGCAGGGAGAAGTACAGAGCTGCGGAGAGCATGGCTCATCTCCTCACATACCTCTGAACTCGTAGTTGAAACCCCATAGCTCAGCCCAGGTGCACCTATACCCTAGAAACTGTGAGGCCTTTGTAACATCCAGTTTCAGAGTCAACAGTGCCCGTGTCTTGGTGATGGTCAGGGAAATGGAACTGCAGACAGATTGCAGATCACCTCCTCCCTCACACCTCTGAATGCTCAGAATTAACTCCAAAAAATTAAGAAATGTATAATCCATCAAATGACTGAAACCATCACAGAGGCACAAGAAATATGAAAACAAACAAACAAACAAAAAAAACAACAAGAAAATCTCTCTCCCCTGAGGGAAAAGAACAGCCCTTCATTATACACAGTAGTACAATGGAACTCGTGGAAATGTCCAATAGAGAATTCAGAATATTCAGTGACAACACTAGATGAAATGCAAGAGATGAGAGACAATGAACTCCCGAAGGTGCAAGAGAGAAGAGACAATGACTTGCAGGAAGTGAGGAGGTTATTTCACAATTTGAAAGAAGAAATACATACCTTTACATTAAAAAAAGAATCAAACAGAGCTGTTCGAGATGAAGGCTATAATACAGGAAATCAAAACCTCCCTTGAAAGTATTTAAAGCAGATCAGACCATGCATTAGATTGAATCTCAGATGCTGAAGACAAAACCTCTGACCTAGAAAAAAATTACCAAAAAGACTGAAAATATAACAACAAAAATATGAGCATAACATACGAGAAATGCTAGATACCATTAAGCACCCAAATAATCAGATCATCGGTTTCCCAGAAGGTGAAGAAACTAATAAGAGAATTGATAATCTATTCCATGAGATCCGGAAGAAAACTTTCCAAACCTAGAGAGGCATTCAAATACCCAGACCCAAGAAGTACAAAGGATCCCTAATAGAATCAACCCAAGAAGATCTTCTCCAAGGCACATCACAGACAGACTGGCTAAATCTACAGACAGACAAGATACTAAAATTGGCAAGAGAGAAAGGTCAGGTTTCGTACAAAGGCTATCCCATCAGGATAACAGCAGACCTCTCATCAGAAACAATGCGAGCAAGGAAAGAATGGGAAAATATATTCAAAGTGTTAAGGGAAAAGCA